CCCGGTCGGTGCCGCTGCCCTTCGCTCGCAGCGGCCCGGGACCGCAGGCCAGCCAGCCCCGGGCTCGCCACACCCCCGCCACGCCCGCAGCCCAGGTGCGCTGTTCGTGCCTTCCGGAAACAGTGCAGTGTGGGGGCGCTCGCGGGGGTCCGGGCCGGGAGCTGGGCCTGGGCGGAGGCGCGTGCTTGCAGGGGGCAGGGGCGAGGCCGCGAAGGCGGGGGAGGGCACGCCGGGTGCGCGTCTGCGCTCCGCGCGTTCCTCGGGCCTCGGAGCCGAGTGGCTGCGCCACGTGCCTGGCCTCCCCAGGTAGAACCCTGCCTGGGTCGTCGGTCCGCAGGTCCGCAGTCACGGGTCGGGGCAGCCGGGACTAAAGCAACGATATAAATCCGGAGATGGATTCCAGCAGGCGAAGCAGAGCGTTGTTGAGCTTCGCTGTGTGCACTGCAGGATCTGAGGGGGACGTTTTCTTGGCCACCAAAGTATAGTAGTGCAGTCGTCATCCTCATCCTTACAGATTCAGTCAGATAGAAGGAAAATAGTACGACGAACGCTCCATTGTTGTGTTGTGTACTGAGCACTTAGACCTGGTATGGTTGCTTCTGCACTGAATATTGCCCTTCCCCAGCAATGTAATGTAACAACTATTTACACAGTGTTTGCGTTGTATCCGATACTGTACGTAAACTAGATGTAATGTCGAACCTTTTAGAGATGAGTGCCCAAACTCCACCCAAAACCCACTTATTTATTGATAAGTGCCAGCGCTGCAATTAAACCTGATTACCATAGTGAGGTTTGAGTTTAGAAAAAATAACTCATACATTACTATCTTTCATCTTAAAAGCAAACAGCATGCATGCAGTAGGTCGCCACCACTGGTTCAAAGTATACAGGAGGATGTGTGTGGGTTCTATGCAAAGAAGATGCCATTTTCTGTACTTTGATATCCACCGAGTGGGAGAAGTTCTCCAAGCAGTCTGCTGAGGATTCTGTGGGGCACTGCATTGTCCTCACTTTACACATGAGGAAACCAGGTTTGAAGAATTAACTAAACGGGGCCAGGGCCTTAGTTCAGTGGCGCAGTGCCTGCCTGGCAAGTGCAAGGTCCTGAGTTCAATTCCTTGTTACACCCCCCCCCCCCGTGTCTCCCAAAATTAAATACCTGAACATGTTCAAGGTGGATCTTACCTGGTCCAGAATATAGAACTGGTGGCCTCCAAAGCCCACAGTTTTTCTAGTCTGTGGATTGTTGTCGCTAACGAGAATCTGGGGACAGGAATCAGGAAACTTTGCTGAGTTGCGGTGGGGTGATGGATTGAAAATGGTGACAGTTGCTTTTTCTCTCTTACACTGCAAGGTAGAGTCTGCATCTTCTCTGGAACTTGGACTGCACTTAGTGATTTGTGAAACTGTAGAACTTGGGGATGAGCACAGCCTAGAGCTTCCAAAGTCAGGTCCCAGAGGCTTTGCACCCTCTGTGTGGACCACTGGGGATCCCTGCTCTTCGATTCCCAAGCCACCATCAAGTTCAGCTCCCCTAGGATGGCTGTGCTGGGAAAGCATGGGAGAAACTGCAGGGAGAAGGGTGTCCTCCTGACTCTCAGCTGCCCCCCACCATTTGAGTCATAGGCTCTAAACACTATAGAGCTGATCCCTATGGGGAAGGCAAAAATAAAGGATTCTTGTCCTATGCCTGTAAGTGTTGGTATACTGTTGTATCAGTCAGCTTCCTGTTGCAGGACAAAATACCTGATGCACACAATTTAAAGGAGGCAAGGTCTGTCTCGGCTCATGGTTTTGCAGGGTTCAGTGCATGCTCTGCTGGCTCCAAGGCAGAACCAGCAGGGCAGGAAGCCCTGGCAGAGGAGAGCTGCTTGACCCATGGCACCCGTGAAGCACAGGGAAAGGAAAGGAACCAGAGAAACAAGTAGACCCCCAGTGGCCTGCTTCCTTCACTTGGGCCCCACCTTGGAAGGCCCATCCTGCCATGACCTCATTACCAGGTCAGCCAGTTATGGTGAATCCATTGATGTGGCTGGATTAAATAACTCAGGATCTGGTCACCTCTTAGGCCCCACCCTGAGCATGGCTGCCCTGGGGGTGAAGCCCTCATTACATGAGTCTACTTAAACCCTATGAAGTGTGTTACTTAGTTACAGATGACTGGGACAGGGACTGCAGGCTGGCCAGGGGCCAGGCCATTGGCAGTGACTGTGCCTGTCCCCTCCTGGCTGTACCTAGCTGTGGTTACCAGCAGACCCCAAGAACCAGTGTTGTGTGTGAACAGAACCTGAGGTGCAGCTCTGAAAGGACTACTGCTCAGGCCTGGAGGTGACTGTCCCTGGGTGGCCCCAGCCCTCATGTGTGCAGTCAGCAGGCTGCCATGGCCACAGTGTGTGGCATCTCTCTCTGCCTTAGGTTTCAGCTGTCTAAACAGCTTTGCTTTGCCCCGTGCTCCAAGCTGCTTAACAGGCTGTGCTGCCGTACCAGGCCTTATGTATCCGTATCCCTTCCCTGGGATTGTCTGGGGGTCTGTGGCAATCTGTGTCTTTTCCTTCCCCAACTAGAAGAGAAGGAGCCAAAAGGCTGATGCAGGAGGATTGCAATGAGTTGGACTTCAGCTACATAGCACAGCCCTGTCTCAAAATCACCCTCTGAATTTTTTTAAAATGGCATAAACGTGTGCTTGGCATGGGCCCGTGCTTGCACTGCACTCCCATCTCGCTGCTGACACTTAAACCAGACTTTCTGTTTGCTGCCTCCATTCTGCAAGGCAAACCCCTAGTGACCCGCCCACTGCAGCCCTGGCCTCCGCTCCTGGGCATCTTCCTTGTGCGTTAACGGCCCTTCTTGCCTCTTGTCTGGGCTGTGAGGGCAGGAACACACTGTGGGGTGGAGAGACGGAGCCAGACTTGGTCACCATTGTCTCGGTGCTGGCATTTCTCAACAAGCGAGTCCCCTTGGTGGTCCTCAGTTTACCTCCTGTGGGTCTTGGCCTTGGTTGTGTCCATGGCATCAGGCAGCTGGGAAACTGCTTTCCCTTTAAATCTCTGGCCCACGCAGGACAAAAAACCTCTTTTCGCAGTTCCTCTTAGCCCCGACCAGACTAGCATTTTAAAGTGTACCAAACATTACAACAGAACAATAATGACCTAATTACAGGAAATATGAAAAGGTTAAAAAAAAAAGAGCAAGTGTGCCCATGCGGCAGGCTACACTCCCACAGCGATTCCTGTCTTATCGTGAAGGCCGGCACAGCTCCGGAGCCCTGGCCTGGCCGTCATTCCGCTGAGTTCTGCCTCCTGTGCTGCGTCACAGCTGACGGGGTCCTCAGCGCCCTCTGCTCCTTCCCCCTGGTTTCTGATCTAGAGGCCGTGTTGCCGCCCGCTCTGACACTGGCATTATTAATTGTCGTGGAAGCCCCTCCCCCCAGGGCTCCTCCCTCTACTTCAGGGTGTGGCCATTGGCAACAGATCCCTAGAAAAGGGGTCACTGCGCCACGCGGGGTGGGGAGCCAGGGCCCTGGCAGCGGGCAGGCAAGAGGAATGTCCCTGATGACCTCTCTGCACATAAAGTCAGAAAACTTGACAAGAACCAGTCCACTTAGCATGGTGGGGGCCTGCTGACATGCCACAGGCGGTCAGGACTCGGAACGGAGAAGAACTTTCTTCTTAGGCCTGTCGTACACCGTCGCTCTCTAACTGTCCACAGCTCTGGTGTAGCTGTCTGTGATCTCCTCTTCCTCCACCACCTCCTCCTCCGCCTCCTTCTTTACAGTACTGGAGATGAAACTCAGGGCCTCTCCTTGAGGTGCATCCCCAGCCATTTTTTTTAATTTTACTTTTTTATTTTGAGACAGGATTGCCCAAGCTGGGTTTAATCTTTCAATCCTCCTGCCTCAGCCTCCTAGACTAAGCTACTAGTTTTGAGTATTTTGTTACATTCTGATAAAAAAAAAAAAAAAAAAAAAAAATTTGTTTTTTGGAGTTTTTTGTTTTCTTGTTTGTTTGGTTTTTGAGACAGGGTCTCACTATGTAGTTCAGACTGCCCTTACACTCACTATGTAGCCCAAGCTGGCCTTGAACTCATGGTGATCCTCCTGCCTCAGCCTCCCAAGTACTCAGACTACAGACATATGCACCACCACTCCTGGCTCTATTCTGATTTGTTTTGGTGTATGGGAAAATGGGAAGTCTCCTCTTCTTTGTACCTATAAGGATGTGGACTTCTTTTAAAAACACAAAAGTAGGAAGAGACCGTTTTCCTAGTTCCCTGCTCCCCAGTAGCCTCTTCTAACTAACAGAATATGCGGGTGGGGTGGGGGCTGAGTAGGAG